TACCTTGATTTATAAATAGACTGCACCCATTCTTGTTCCAGCTGAAGTGTTTTGGCAAATATAAGTATGTCAGCTGTCCAAATCATGTTCAAATAAGGCAAATTCTAAGCTGCAATCAATCTGGCTGTTTCTCTACCTTTCTTCCATTTCCTGTATGTCATTTTGCTTTTTCCACCATGTGGCTATGCTGGAGTATCTCTGAGCCTATTCTGGATCCACAGGCTATCTGATTTGCAAATCATTTTTTGCTCAATTTAACTGTGTTAAATTTAATTTCTCTAAAATTTTTTTATTTTACAAGTTTTCATATTATTTCTATGATGAAAAATAAATGTTTTTGGGCTTTGACTGTCTAAGCTCATCCCTCAGCTTTTCTTTTAAATTATTCTATGTCTGTTCAAAATGCTCCTGCAATTTTTCTTGGGTCTCCCTCCTTTATCCTGGCTGGAGTGTGGTGGTGTAACCAATTATCTCGCATTGCAGCCTAATCTGCTTGGCTCAAGCAATCCTCCTGCCTCAGCTACCTGAGTAGCTGGGACCACAGGTATGCAACATCATGCCTGGCTAATTTTTAAAAATTGTTTTCATGGACACAGGATCTTACTATGTTGCCCGCCTGCACCTGAACTCCTGAACTCAAGTGATTCTTTCAACTCAGCCTCCCAAAGTTCTAGGATTATAGGTGTGAGGCACCTTGTGCTTCTGCAATTTCTTGACAGGATTATTCCCAATAATAAACAGTACTACATGGGCACAAATCTAAAGAAAAACAAATCCGGCTTCTATTGTAATAGTATTATTCTCCAGTATTTCATGGGTCTGCAGAAGCCAATAGTTTGATCTATGGAGGAGTATAGATCAACAAACTCAGTTTATCCTGAGTTTCAGCCCAGCCACTTAGTAGCTGTTGGTCTTTGGACAAATTTCTCGATGTAAGTGAGTTGTATAAACCACACATGCAAAAAAGGCAGAATAATATTCATTGCAAAAATTGTAGCAATTTTTCATCCCTTCTATATCCACGCCCATTGCCAGGTGCCTTTACAGATGTTCCCATTGAGATACAGAATCTGTTTTACAAAGCCTAACCCTGGCTGACCTTATTTGCTCAAGGCAGTAGAAACCTGTGAACTGACTGTGCTAGTTTAGGGAAGGGCTCAAATGGTCTTGAACACTTCTTTTTTCTTTTTAAAGTTTGGTAATGGCCAGGCACAGTGGCTCACGCCTGTAACCCTAGCACTTTGGGAAGCTGCGGCAGGTGGATCAGCTAAGGTCAGGAGTTCAAGACCAGCCTGGCCAACATGGTGAAACCCTGTCTCTAATAAAAATACAAAAATTAGTTGGGCGTGGTGGTAGGTGCCTGTAATCCCAGCTACTCGGGAGGCTGAGACAGGAGAATCGCTTGAGCCTGGGAGGGGGAGGTTGCAGTGAACCGACAGGGTGCCACTGCACTCCAGCCTGGGCAACAGAGCGAGATTCCGTGTCAAAAAAACAAAACAAAACAAACAAACACAAAAAAACTTAGGCTGCTTCCTTAAAGCGCCAGAAGTCCGGAAGAACATAAAAGCCGAAGTTTTAAATTGTTATTATGTACTTTTCCTTCGTTAATAGCCATATAGTATATTATTTATAGATGCGTATGACCTTGTACACAAAGTTAAAGGCAAATACCTTCTGGGGTGGGCCTGGCTCACCTCTGGGAGGAAGCCCTGCCTGAAAAAGGCTGCAGCCTAAGCTGTCACTCTTCCTTCATTCAGCCCAAGCTGTCACTCTTTCTTCGTTCAACCCAGCATCTGATCATATCTTCTATCACTCAGCGCCTGAGGAGGCGGGGACTTAAACGTCATCCAATCAGGGATGAATGGCTAAGAGCCGTCCAATCAGGCCCGCAGGTAGAGCGGCCAGAGCGGCTTCCGGGATTTGGCGGGGGCTTTGTCTCTTGCTGTGGCGGGAACTTCTGGTCTCTGTGGACTAGTGACCTGCAAGTATTGGGAGATCCGCAGCTAAGACGTCAGGACCCCCTGGAAGCCTCGAAATGGTGAGAGTGCCGGTCCGACCTCCCGGGAGAGGGGAGGGGCTGGTTAGAACCGTTGGGAAGTGACTAGCGGGACTCAGGCCTCCCAGCAGTCAGCTCCACAATCTGCGCCCAGAGTTTTTGACCAGCTCAGCCTCAGTCCCCTTCAGCCATAAGATGGCGGTTGCGCGGACAGCCGGCCACTGGGGCGTCCTGTCTCTTCCTTGGGTAGTGACTGTTCCTTGGTCTGGAGCGCTCTCTGGGCAGCTCTGCACCCGCAGGGCGGCGTTTCTCCCAGATTGCGCAGGGATCACGGTGGGATCGTGAGGGGAGAAGCCTTTTAAAAATTTGTGGGAGTCGTCGCAAAAATATTGAAGAATTTAATCAAAGAGTTGTTAAAAAATTATAGAGCACCCCTATGGTTGTAGTTTGTGGTCCATTAGAGCGGCTTGAAGAAAATACTTTTATACGGTGCATGATGAAAAAAAAAACCCCAAATTCAGTAGTTAGGTACTGTTCCGTAGTGTCCTAATTTCCACCTTAGCCTACAAATTTCCTGGTTATGTAATCAGAGCTTAATTGGCTGTTTATAGTTGGATAAGCCTGAATTTCATTTCCTCTAATTTAGTAATTTATAAAAAAAATAAATAAATGCATTTTAGTTAGATATTTTTTAAAAAGTAGGAATCCAGGGACTAGATTTCCACCTCATGGAATAGTTAATTCCATGTCACTTAACTATTTTCACACTCCGCAGAGGGCTGATGATGGCCTACGTATTTTTTCTTTTCTTTCCTTTTTTTCTTTTTCTTTTTCTTTTTCTTTTTTTTTTTTTTTTTTGAGACAAAGTCTCACTCTGTCGCCCAGGCTGGAGTGCCCTGGCCCAATCTCAGCTCACTGCAACCTCTGCCTGCCGGGTTCAAGCGATTCTCCCGCCTCAGCCTCCCGAGTAGCTGGGACTACAAGCACATGCCACCATGCCTAGCTAATTTTTGTATTTTTAGTAGAGATGAGACTGTCACCATGCTGGCCAGGCTGGTCTCGAACTCTTGACCTTGTGATTCGCCCGCCTCGGCCTCCCAAAGTGCTGGGATTACGGGTGTGAGCCACTGCGTCTGGCTGTGCCCTGCACTTTTTAGGTTTTTCAAGCAGGGTCTCAATTGTACCCCCCAGCCCTACTTTTCTCCAGCCTAACTCTGGCTTGAAGTAAAATACTAAATTACCAGCACCTTCTGACAATTCCAGACGCCAGCTTTTCCTCCCCAATTCGCATTCTTAACTTTGTGTGTGTGTGTGTGTGGGTGTACTTTTTTTTTTTTTTTTTTTTTTTGAGACAGAGTCTTGCTCTATTGCCCAGGCTGATGTGCTGTGGCTCACTGCAACCTCCGCCTTCGGGTTCAAGCGATTTTTCTTGCCTCAGCCTCCCAAGTAGCTGGGATTACAAGCATACACCACCATGCCTTGCTGATTTTTGTATTTTTAGTGGAGATGGGGTTTCTACGTGTTGGTCAGTCTGGTCTCAAACTCCCGACCTCAGGTACTCCCCCATCCTAGGTCTCCCAATGTGCTGGGATTACAGGTGTGAGCCACCACGCCCAGCCAGCCTATAATTTACTTTTTGGGAACAATACTTTTTGGGAACAATATTTCAGCAGTGATGCTGTGTTCTTCTGGGTGTATCAGCACATCATAAAAATTTGTCCTACTGCTGTTGATGTTCACTTGGATAAGAGCTCTCTGACAGATTGTTTTACTATATAGTTAATTATTTTTTCTTTGTTATTTTATTATTTTTCTTTTTTGAGGCAGGGTCTCACTTTGTCACCCAGGTTGGAATGCAGTGGTGCTATCTTGGCACACTGCAACCTCTGCCTCCTAGGTTCAAGCCATTCTCCTGCCTCAGCCTCCCAAGTTGCTGGGACTACAGGCAACCACCACCATACCCAGCTATTTTTTTTTTTTGAATCTCCTCATTATTAAGTATCTTTATGTAGCTGATCTGTGTAAACTATCAAATTTAATCTGGCAGTTGCTTCTCTTTCTTAAGATTTCTTTGCATATATCTGTTCTTGGAAAATGAATACTTTCATCTTCCTTTATAGTCCAGAAAAACTGGGAAAAACACAGGTTCTTCCACATACTGGATGTTTGATAAAATATTCTTCTTAGGCCAAAATCATTGGCATTACTGGTGAGCTTGTTAGAAATTCAGAAACTCAGACTTTATTCCAGATTATCTGGAAGAAACAATCTCCATTACAAGATCTCCAGTTTATTGTACACATTAAAATTTGAGAGATAGCTTCTAACTCAACATATTTTTTTAGTCTCAAAAATACACAGAATTCATTCTCTATTATGGAAATATAGCACTCAAAAATGTATATGCCTGTGCTCATGTCCTTAATTTTATGCTTTATTATCCAGAAAATTGTCATATATAAACTGATGTTGTGGATCTTATTGCACTGTTTTTTCAGAGTTAGAGAATACATCAGAGAATATTTCTGCATTGAAAATTATTTTCAGCTGGGTGTAGTGGCTCATGCCTGTAATCCCAGCACTTTGGGAGGCTGAGGCCGGTGGATCAGCTGAGGTCAGGGGTTTGAGACCAGCCTGGCCAATATGATGAAACCCAGTCTCTACTAAAAATACAAAAATTAACTGGGTGTGGTGGCAAGTGTCTATAATCCCAGCTACTTGGGAGGCTGAGGCAGGAGAATCACTTGAACCCAGGAGGCAGAGGTCTCAGTGAGCCGAAATTGCACCATTGCCTCCAGTGCAAGACTCTGCCTTAAAAAAAAAGAAAAAAGCATTATTTAATTGGATGATTTCAGTCACTCCTGTAAGTCAGAACCTGTTCTCTTAAGTCTCTCTTTTCACCTTGAGTCAAATTAAAAATTCTGCCCTTGGCCTCCTGGTAAGTGTGTGTGTGTGTGTGTGTGTGTGTGTGTGTGTGTGTGTGTGTATGTTTTTCCGGGACCATTGACATTCATGGATGTGGCCATAGAATTTTCTCTGGAGGAGTGGCAATTCCTGGACACTGCACAGCAGAATTTATATAGGGATGTGATGTTAGAGAACTACAGAAACCTGATCTTCCTGGGTGAGAATAACTTCAATACACAATTCCTAAGATACTCTAAGTGTTTCTTTTTCTTTTTTTTTTTTGGTAAAATGTTTTTTGGTAACTGATGCTTTACATAAATGAGTTTCACATCACTGTTTTTGAAGAAAATCTTGGGAATTTGTCAGTGTAGAGAAGGATTTCTTCAAGATAAATTTCTTGAAGTTTACCTTGATCTGAACTTTCCACATTCCTGAGCAGACCTGTATTTTTTACTCTATATTAGTGATAATTTCAAAATTTAGTGACATAAAATATTGTTGCCCACACCTTAAAATATAATTGTCACCACCAGCTTTTGATTCAGTGGTACTAGGTAGTGAAATTATTATTATTGTTATTATTTTGAGAAGGAGTGTTGCTGTTGCCCAGGCTGGAGTATAATGGTATGATTTTGGCTCACTGCAACCTCTGCCTTACTGGTTCAAGAGATTCTCCAGCCTCAGCCTCCTGAATAGCTGGGACTACAGGCATGTGCCACCAAGCCTAACTAATTTTTGTATTTTTAGTAGAGACAGAGTTTCACCATTTTGGGCAGGCTGGTCTTGAACTTCTGACCTCAAGTGATCCACTCTCCTCGGCCTCCCAAAGTGCTGGGATTATAGGCATAAGCCACTGTGCCTGGCCCATTTTCTAAATATTTAGAAATTATTCTTATAAATTAGAATTTTGGGGTTAATGTGCTAGAATAGGCTATTACATTCTCTTTACTGGGGACATTATTTGAAGAATATGAGCAACATTCATGTTATTTATTTTTAATAAAACAGGTATTGCTGTCTCTAAGCCAGATTTAATTACCTGTCTGGAGCAAGGAAAAGAGCCCTGGAATATGAAGAGACATGAGATGATGGCCAAAGCCCCAGGTAGGTGAGAATGAACACAATGGACAACACAGATCAGAGGTCCAAAGATTAAGGAGAAAGCAGTCCTTGCAATAGAATTTGGGAAGCTGTGTTACAAAAAAAATAGTTTCAGGAAAGCCTGAGATTTTAAAAAATTTTACTCTCACATAAGGGTGTCTTCTGTCTTATGCCTTTTAATTCTCTAAGGATTCTACTTTCCCTTTTGTGATCTTCCTTGAAGTTTACAGTGACAGCCAAAGTCATCTTCATGGCATATAAAAGACTGCACAATCTACTTTTTAATATTTTCAGGTGAACCATAAATATCTGCATAATTTTATGAAACTGTATGTTAGGACGGGCAAATGTCTCACGCCTGTAAACCCAGCACTTTGGGAGACCAAGGTAGGTGGATCACCTGAGGTCAGGAGTTCAAGAACAGCCTGGCCAACATGGTGAAACCCCTTCTCTACTAAAAATACAAAAATTTGCTGAGTGTGGTGGCACATACCTGTAATCCCAGCTACTCGGAAGGCTGAGGCAGGAGAATCACTTGAACCAAAGAAGCAGAGGTTGCAGTGAGCCGATATCGTGCTATCACACTTCACCTTGGGTGAGAAGAGCGAAACTCCATCTCAAAAGTAAAAAACAAACAAAAACTATGTTAAACAATGTTTTAAGTTCTCTTGTTTTTTCATGTTGGAAATATGGAGAGTAGTGATTTCTGTTCCATTTGTTTTTTGTTTTTCTACATAATCCATCCTGTTTTTATTAGTATAATCTTGAAATTCAGTTCGGAATTATTAAGTATGACATCCTCCTGGTTTGTTCTTTTTTGTCAAGATTACTTTGGCTATTTAAAGTTTATTGAAATTTCATGTAAATTTTAGGATTGTATTTTACATTACTATGTAAAAGATACTACAGGACTTTTTTTTTTTTTTTTGAGATGGAGTTTCGCTATTGTTGCCCAGGCTGAAGTACATTGGCCTCAGCTCACTGCAACCTCTGCCTCTGGGGTTCAAGCAATCCTCCTGCCTCAGCCTCCCGAGTAGCTGGGATTACAGGCACGTGCCACCATGCCCAGCAAATTTTTGTATTTTTAGTAGAGAAGGGGTTTTACCATGTTGGCCAGGCTAGTCTCGAACTCCTGACATCAGGTGATCTGCCCCCCTCAGCCTCCTGAAGTGCTGGAATTACAGGTGTGAGCCACTGAGCCCGGTGTTTTGTTTTTGTGTTTTTTTTTTTTTTGAGATGTAATTTTGCTCTTGTCACCCAGGCTGGAGTGCAATGGCGCAATCTTGGCTCACTGCAACCTCCACCTCCTGAGTTCAAGTGATTCTCCTGTCTCAGCCTCCTCAGTAGCTGGGATTATAGGCATGTGCCACCACACCCAGCTAATTTTTGTATTTCTATAGATCAGGTTTCTCCATGTTGGTCAGGCTGGTCTGGAACTCCTGATCTCAGGTGATCCACCCACCTAGGCCTCCCAAAGTGCTGGGATTACAGGTGTGAGCCACCATGTCTTGCCAATCACATGTGTTTTGCAAATATTTTACCAATTTCCTTTGAAGAGAGAAGTTGTCACTCTTGAATTTTTTTTTTTTTTTTTGATGTGAAGAAATTTTGAAGTGTTGTGTAAATTTTTCTTTTCTTTTTTCTGTTGCTCATGCATTTAATGTCATATCTAAGAAAATGGTGCCAAGACTAATTTTATGTCCTTCCCCTATGTTTTTTCTAAGAGATTTGTTTTTTTTATGTCTAGTATTTTATTAAAAAATATATATACATATATATTTTTTACAAGACGTCTTATTCTGTTACCTAGGTTGGAGTGCAGTAGCATCATCTTGATGCACTCCAAACTCTGCCTTCCAGGTTCAAGTGATTCTCCTGCCTCAGCCTCCTGAGTAACTGGGATTACAGGTGCCTGAGACCTTGCCCAGCTAATTTTTGTATTTTTAGTAGATACGGGCTTTCAACACATTGGCCAGGCTGGTCTTGAACTCCTGACCTCAGGTGGTCTTCCCACCTTGGCCTCCCAAAGTGTTGGGATTACAGGCGTGAACCATCGCTCCCGGTCCTAAAATACTTTTTGTATATAGTTCAAAGAAGGGATCCAGCTTTATCAGTAGATATCCAGTTTTAAGAATTATTATTTGAAGAGATTATTTTTTCTCTGTTGTGTGCTCATGGCAACTTTGTGAAAAATCATTTGGTCATATACGGAAGGGTTTATTTCTGAGCTCTTTATTCTTTTTTTTTCTGTTGAATTATCTTTTTGTTAGTATCACATTGTTTTTGTGATTGTAGCTTTTAATATGTTTTGAAATCAGGAAGTATAATACCTATTTTTCAGGGGATGTTTGGCAAATTATAGTTCATAATCAAATTAAAAAATTTTAAACAACATTTTTGTTTAAAAAAAAACAACTATGCTATTAGGATTTTTATAAAGATATTAAATTTGTTCACCCCTGTAGGTTGTATTGACATCTTAACAAAATTAAAATTTTTGACCCTTGAGCAAGAATATGTTGAAGAGTGTGTTTTATTTTTATTTTATTTTTCTAACTTTTTTTTGGAGACAAGGTCTTGCTATGTTGTGCAGGCTAGCTTCAACCTCCTGGGCTCAAGCAATTCTCCTACCTTGGCCTCCAAAATTGTTAATATTATAGGCGTGAGCCACCACGCCTGGCCTGTGTGTTTTATTTTATATATTTTTGAATTTGCCTGTTTTACTTTTAATTCCTAGTTTCATTCTGTTTTGGTCAGAAAACACACAGTGTATAATTTTGGTCTTCTTAAGTTTATTTGTTGTTGTTGTTTTGAGACAGAACCTCTCTCTGTCACCAAGGCTAAAGTGCAGGGACATGATTCTGACTCACTGCAACCTCAGCCTCCTGAGCTCAACTGATCCTTTCATCTCAGCCTCCTGAATAGCTGGGACTACAGACATGCCTGGCAAATTTTTTAAATTATTTGTAGAGATGGGGTCTCACTGTGTTACCCAAGCTGGTCTCAACCTTTTGGTCCCAACTGATCCTCCCACCTTGGTCTCCCAAGTTGTTGGGATTGTAGGTGTGAGCCACTGCACCTAGCTGGTATTTTTAAATGTGGTAGCACTTGTTATGTGTCCTAAAAGAAGACATCAGGTGCAGATAAAAATATTTTTTTTTTTTTTTTTTGAAACAGCCTCACTCTGTCACCCAGGCTGCAGAGCAATGGTGCAATCTTGGCTCATTGCAACCTCCACCTCCCAGGTTCAAGTGATTCTCATGCCTTCGTCTCTTAGACTCTTTATAGGTTCTTTTAAACAGTCTGGCAATCCTTTTGTTTTATTATGTTTTACTGTGACAGGAATTCTCTGTTCCTCAAATGAATTTATTTTAATGGTCAGAACCTGAAAAGAGTAACTACTGAAAACATTATGCACCTGATAAGAATCATTACTAGAGATTGGTACACTCCACATCCAATTTTGATTAGAGAATGCCAAACAACCAGGTGCAGTTCCTATGCACAGTGGTGGAAATTTATATCTAATGGACACGTTAAAAGGTGTTCCTTCATCTGGTTGAGCTGGAAATCTGTCATCATTAGGGACCAGCATGAATGCACTGCCATTAGTATAAATCTTCACTGAGGAGTCCATCCATGAAACAGATCAAATAAGAGGGGGAAATGGTACATATGCCCAGTAGGTGTAATTTTGAGTTGCTGCAGCCTCGGATATGCTTACCACTGCAGTAACTACCAGAATGGCAGCCAAGATAATATTAACCATAGTTTTTGGAATCCCTTTGTCCTTCAGGTGTCTCTCAACCACTTTGGACATTACTTTTATCTGACCCCACGTCAGTGGGGTGGAATTTTTATATTGGGGAGTTATAGGGCGAGGCTGTGATGTGAAGTTGGGATTATAAATTTTATTAGTCAGGTGACGAGCCTTGCGCTTCGAGTTCTGATGGCTCTTCACCTTTTGTTTCTGATGGTTCTTCAGGGCTGGAGCCATGGTACAATTTCAGTGGATGAGAGGGAACCCAAACAGGTTGTTGTTCCTTTCCTGGGGAGACACAAGCGAAACCCCTACCCCATGTTATTACAGTGCCTAATTCCCATTTATTAGTTTTTGTGTCCTTCCACCATACTCACTTGCCTTTTTGTGGGTCAAATTTATTACTACTGAAGTGTTGTTCTGCTGCTGTAAAAGGCTGGTTCTTAGCCAAGTTTAAAAAATTTAATGTGAATAGAGCTAAATTTATCTGAGCATGGGGAGTACTGGCATCCCCTTTCTTTTTGTTATCTTGTTTGCGAAGCTGGTCTTTGAGAGATTTATTAGCTCGTTCCACTAGTGCCTGTCCTTGAGAATTATAGGGAATTCCAGTAATGTGAGTAATGCCCCATGCTTGAGTGAACTTTTTAAAGGCAATGCTGGTACAGCCGTGACCATTATCAGTTTTAAGCTTAGTGGGGCAGCCCATAACTGAGAAACAGGAAAGAATGTGTCATTTAACATGAGCAGTACTTTTCTCCTGTTTGGCACGTGGCCCAGATGAAATGGGAAAAGGTGTCAACTGTTACATGTATGAAAGAAAGTCTCCCAAAAGCTGGCAAGTGGGTTATGTCCATGTGCCATAGTGCGTTGGGGGAAAGGCCTCGAGGAGTAACTCCCGAAGGAAGTGGCTGTAAAATTAACGCTTGGCAAGAGGAACAGTGCCATACTATGGTTTTTGCCTGTTCACGTGAGGGGGAACTTGCTTCTGAGTCCTGCAGCATTGGCATGAGTTAGGCCTTGAAAATTTTGCATGTCCGTGAAAATGGATGTGACTAAAGCATCAGCTCTGGCATTTACAGCTGAAAGAGGTCCTGGAAGAGATGTATAGGCTCGAATATGAGTAATGTTAAAGGGGGCAGAGCACGCTCTGATTATTGTCTGAAATCTTTAAAAAAGTGAAAGTAAACTTTCATCCGGCAAAAACAACCCCATTTCTATGTTGCGTGCAACATGCATGATGTAT